AATGGATGTCTATGTGTGTCAATGAGAAGGTTGTGTACAACTCGGGTACATCATCTTGGGGTATCCCTTGCTAAAAATTTGTAAAAAGTTGATAAAGGATGTATAATTTTTTTGGGCAAAAAGTTGTACCCTATATCTTTTATTTATGGGAGTATATTTTATTCCGCATTTATTCGAATATTTTTTATCTACTTTCTCATCTCAACTTATTATAACGAGGCTGCCTTTATTTTTTTAAAATTCATTTTATTTGTACGAGGTTTTAATATAAAATTCATATATTAAAATAAACAAACTCAAGTTTTCAATAAAATTAAGAATGACACAATGATAGACAAAATGAGAAACCTTTTCTTTATCATTGAATAATACTTTCTTTGTCAATAAATTTTCTTTCATTTATTTTTTACGATCTCCAATATAATAATTTGATCATTAATATTTCTTTTTATGTACAAACATATATTATAAAAATTTAATATTTCAAATTGAATTTATTGATATTAAATTTATACTCCCTCCGTCCTATAATGATCTTCGCAGAGTACTATTCCAACTTCACGGGAATTTATATTTATTTGTGTTTTTTCATGGCCTATATGATAAAATAAAATATTCTTGTCACCACTTGTTTTGTTGAACTTTTGGTGTAGTTTTTAAATATGTATGTTTTATTTTTTATTTCTATACCAATATTTCAATAAAATAGATTGAAAAAACTTGGGATTTTTCTTCGTTTTGCGAACCGGGAAGATCATTATAGGACGGAGGGAGTATGATAATTTAGTATATTTTTTCATAACTTGTAATTAAAATTTAAATTGTTTGACCAACAAAATCAAATTTTTGGGAGGAAAAGGAAGTAACATAAGAGAAGATTAACCCTATGTTTGGATGGAGAGAATTTGGAGGGAAATAAAATTAGGGAGAGGAAAGCTCATTTTTTAATATTTTTTTCTCTCCTTTTCGTTGAAGAGAAAATGAAGAGGGAAGAGAAAAGGGTTAGTGGGGAAGGAAAAAATTTTCTTGGTAAGGTGGTAAATGAAGGGATAAGAGACAAAAAATGTCATAATTATTCTTTTCTCCTTAGGGAACTGAAATTATACCTAATGCCCATGCACGTTATCCACATTTTACGCCATGGGGAATTAAACACTGCTTCCATGACCGTTATCATGGCGCTAAAGCCACCGCGTCAAACCTTTGATGCTACAAAGGATTCTATTTTATTCCGCCTTTATTCAAATATTTTTTATCTACTTTCTTGTCTCAAATTATTGAAACGAGTTTGTATTTATTTTTTTAATTCATTTCATTTGTACGAGGTTTTAAAATAAAATTCATATATCAAAACACTGACTCAAATTTTTAATAAAATTAAGAATGAAACAATTTATTATTTTAACAAATAATAGATAAAGTGAGAAATTTTTTTATCATTGAATAATGCTTCCTTTCTCAATAAATTTTCTGGCATTTAGCTTTTTATAATCTTCAATGTAATAATATGATCATTAACATTTCTTTTTAAATACTAGCATATATTATAAAATATTTAATATATCAAAATAAATTTATTGATATTAAATTTATATGATAATTTAATATAAATTTTTTCCATAATTTATGATTAAAATTTTAAAAGTTTGACTAACAAAATCAAATTTTTGGGAGGAGGAGAGAGTACTATAAGACAAGATTAATCCTATGTTTGGATGGAGAGAATTTGGAGAGAAAGAAATTTAGGGAGAGGGAAACTCATTTTCTATTGTTTTTCTCTCCATTTGATTGAAGAGAAAATGAAGAGGGAAGCGAAAAGGGCTAAGTGGGCAAGGGAGAAATTTTTCTTGGTAAAGTGGTGAGAAAATGAAGGAATAAAAGAGAAAAGTGTCATAATTAGTCTTTTCTCCTTAGGGCACTCGAATTACACTCAATGCCCCTATGTGTTATCCACATTTTAACGCCATAGGGAAAACACTTCCCCCCCATGACTCTCATCATGGTGTTAATGCCATTGCGTTAAACCTTTGACGCTACATAGGAACATTACCACTGCGTTAAACCTTTGACAACCTATTTTTTGGTCGTTGGCCAACTATATAAAAATTAATTTTTTCAATTTTAAATACTTCTTTTTTTCAAAAATATACACACGCAACAAATTCTCATTCTCTCTATAATTCATCCAAAAAAATATTTTATTTTTCATTGTCTCGGTGGGCTGTTACCAATGGTGGCAACAAGCAAAGCAAGAGGAAGCGAAACCGTCCTATCGCTTGACACGATGTGAGTGTTTAAACCGTGATCGGGCGGGACTGCACACGAAGTACTACTCAACGACTACTTCAATACTCTGTGTGTTTACACACTGTAAGATATTAGTAATCGTTTTCGGATTAGTTGTTCTTTGTTTTTATGCATTAGTCGTTCTTTAATTTGTTTTTACGCATACTCGCCGATATTGAACGCGAGGTGCCCTTTTTCACTCAACAGTTTGATGTTAGAGGTCGACGTGGTTTTAGTAGCGTCCAAAAGTTGTATTTATAAATTTTCTAAAGAAATTTTTCAACTTTATCAGAAGAGGTATTCACGTAAGCCAACGGCGAGCGGCATTGACAAGTTACAGGCTACGCATGCCGCTAAAGATTGCTTTGTGGGCATGCTTGGGAGCATCAATTGCACGCATTGGGAATGAAAAAATTGTCCCATTGCATGGGATGATCAGCTCTCTCATGGTGATCATCTCAAGCCTACTCTTATGCTCGAAGTTGTGGCTTGAAATGACTTATGACTTATGCATGCTTTTTTTGGTATTGCGGGATCGAACAACAACATCAATGTTCTTGATCAATCACCTGTGATTGATGATTGAGTTACTGAGACTGCATTCGACTCATCTTTTGAGCTTAGAGATAAGCTTTACAAGCGTGGATATTATCTTGCCGATAGAATATTTCCAGATTATTTCACAATTCTCAAGTCCCTCTGGGAACTAATCGGTCTTAAACGCTACCAGACCTACAAAAAGCTCATGAGGTTGCGAGAAATGATATCGAACGAGCCTTCGGGGTGTTGAAGGGTAAGTGGTATATAATAGATCGTCCGTCCAAGTATTATTCTCAAACAAAAATGAGGAATATCATATACGCATGTAATATTCTTCATAATATGATTATAGAGTACAACGAGTTTGCAATTTGTCATTTCAACTCGGACGAGGATGTGCTTATGTACGAAGAAATCGACGAAGAAAAGAAACGAAAAAACAACCAGGAAATTCGAAGCCGAGAGATTCACAATGCACTAATGGCGGATTTGATTGAACATATTTTTAGTCACTCAAATAACCATTAATTTCTTCATAATGTAATGTAATTTTTAATTTTTTTTATTTATGTTGTTATTATTAAAATCTTTTTTTATTCATGTAAATTTTTTTATTTAATGAATTATTATTGTTAGATTTAATTAATTAATGAATTCTTATCAATTTACTTTTATAATATCTGCATTAATTTTTAAAAAAATAAACATTTGAAGTTCCAGTTTGAAGTCATAGAGCTTCAAATCCATTTTTCGCTGAAACTGTGGGGTAAGTTAAAGATGAGTTGAAGTTGATCTGGGAAAGAAAAGGTTTGAAGCCCTAGGCTTCAAACATATTTTTAGTGTTCTTATATTTGTACCCTAGCCCCCTGCATCTCCACCACACAAATGCAAGAGGAAAAAAAATTAAAAATGAAAAAAATAATCAATAGTTAGGATCAATTGTGTACAAATGGTGTATCCCTAGCATTCCTCTTTGCACATTGGCACATTATCATAATCCCTCTGTCCTTATTTTGATTACAAAATGGGAATTATGATGCAAAATCCAACAATTTTTGAAATCATTTTATTTATAAATTGTATATCAATAAGAAATAAAAATTATATATTAAAAAACTAAGTTTAAAGTTTTACAAAATAAAAGGTGACAGGAATATTTTATTTTATCAAATAATCAATGAAATACACAAATAAACATCAAAATATGGACAAGAGTATAAGGATAAAAATATCTTTTTAACTTCATCAAGTTTTATTTCCTCTTACTTTTCTCCCCATTTCCCACTCATCCAAACAATAATTATTATTTTTTCATTTTCTTGCGTTTTTATTTTCTTTCCTCTTATTTTCTCCGAAACAAGCCCTAATTTCCAATTTCCAAGGGGAGGAATGACTAAGGCCTCGTTTGGTACACAGAATTCAAACTATGAAATTGGAATTGAGGACTTCAATTCCAATTCTGGTGTTTAGTAGCACAAAAAATACGTGGATTTGGAATTGATAGCACAAAAAATGAATTGGAATGGGTGAATTCAATTCTATGAAATTGAATCCCATGAAATTTCATTTCAATTCCTTATAACAAACGGACCCTAAGGCCTCATTTGATACACGGAATTCAAACTATGGAATTGTAATTGAGGACTTCAATTCTAATGTTCATGTTTGGTAGCACAAAAATTATTTGGATTTGGAATTGGTAGTGCTAAAAATGAATTGGAATTGGTAAATTTAATTATAGGGAATTGATTCCCATGAAATTTTAATTCCAATTCAATTCCAATTCCATCAATTCCGTGTATCAAACGGAGGCCCCATTTGGTACATGAAATTCAAACTGTGGAATTGGAATTGAGGACTTCAATTTCGATTCTGGTGTTTGGTAGCACAAAAATTATATGGATTTGGAATTGATAGTGCAAAAAATGAATTGGAATTGGCAGAATTGTATTCTATGGAATTGAATCTCATGGAAATTCAATTCAATTCCAATTCCGTCAATTCCGTATACCAAACGGACCCTAATTGTTTCTGGGAGGGGGTACCAATGAATTTTTTTGAAAGTAACGGAATGAGTTTTAAAAGTAGTTCCGGAATACTGTGGTCGTACAGAAGAAAAAAAAACAACGTTTCCATCAGTTGTATATAAAAGCCGCCAACCCTTCACCTAGAGTTTCACAATCTCCACTATTGTTATTATAAAAACCGCCGTCGATAGGCCGGGTAAGCTCAGCCCCGGCGGCAGCTAGCGGTTGCGCAATTTTTTCCCTTTAAAAAAACAAGGTAATGCATGTCTATTAAAAGTAGATTACTCCGTATTAGAAATGCAAGAAGTCTGGGTTGCTAGTCTGTTGGTTGTATTGCAGGCAGGCGGCGGGCAGCTTTTGTTGACCGGAAAGCTCAGGGATGAAATACGTATTGGTCACCGGAGGAGTGGTTAGCGGCCTCGGGAAAGGGGTCACTGCCAGCAGTATTGGCCTCATCCTTAAGGCTTGCGGCCTTCGTGTTACTTCCATTAAAATTGGTCTCTCTCTCTGTCTCTCTCTGTTCATTTGTAGTGTGTTATTTCCCATCCTTAATCAAATGGTCAAAAGAACAAAGAGGATTATTTAGCCTACACATTCCTTTTACCCTACCTAAATTTAGCCTCACAAATGGTAAAGGCAACCACTTTTCTTGCTTTTTTTGTCCTTTGTTACCTATTATTTCAGAGAGTAGGCATAATTTGGGCATTTTCTTCCCCTCTTTTGCTCTCTTCTTCTGGGGCGGAGATGATTTTGGTTGGTTGCATATACAAGTACTCCCACTCTCCATTAACCCGGTGCCAAGTTAAACTACTAAAGACGGAAAGAGTATATTTTATTGGTGTGACTTCATAATTTTATGAAGTGTTGAAAAGTAAAAATTGATTGGTTGAGATTTGTAAAGCATATAGTTCTTCCGTCCCAAAAAATTTGTCGTAGTTTAACTTTTTTGGTGAAACTGTGCAATATTTTGATCATAAACTGTGGAAAAAGTGTACTTTTTTATAGTGTAAATTTAGTAGAATTAAGTTTATTTTAAAATTTAGTTTTAAAATAACAAATTTTTATAATATTTAATTATTTAAAACTATATTTAATTTGTGATCAAAGTGTGTCACATCACAGTTTGACCAAAAAAGTCTAAATGTGGCCAAAATAAAGTCACTCTTACCATTTTGGCTTCTAAATAAATTTTGTTTGTGTACTTTGATTGATTATTTGATACTCAATAAAATACAATATTTTTTGTCACAATTTGTATTATACTTCATCCGTTTGGGAAAAAACTTCTTCTTTCACTTTTTTTGCTTTCACCAAAACACTTCCATTTTTTATTAAAATGGTTAATATATCCAAATAAAGTCATTCCAATATACTCCATCCATTTTGTATTGATATAATAAGTGCTTTAAGTGATTTGTCACTCTTTTCTTGTCGACGTTAATGATTTAATTGGAAAGTCAAATTACAAAATTAAATCCTGCAAAAGTCAAAACGAGAACTGTTTAGAAGAACGAACGGGTAGAACTTTTGATGTAGTTTTAAAATATAAATTTTGTACTTTTTATCTCTATACTAGTTTGTAAATAAAATAATTCTAAAATGAATGAGATTTTGCATGCTCTTCCATGATGGGAGTTTATTTTGAGACAGAAAGAGTACTTTATATTTTTAGGAAAGTACAGAGTAAAAAAGTGTGACAATTTTCAGGATAGAGGGAGTATTTTTAAAGGTCAAACTTAGCCAGTACAGAGTTTTTTTTTTTCAATACCACAAAGATAATCCACAATCTAATTGCACACAAATTCAGTAATGATTCCTGAGTTAGTTGTAAAATTAGATTGATATGCAACACCCATTTCTACTCACTGAAAAGTACACAGTTTCATAGTAGTAGTAATTACACTAATCTGTTTGGACATTAGTAGGGGTAAGTCTGGAAATTGAAAATAAAATCCTCACCTGATAAAGAAAATGGAAGAATTGATTATCTTTGCAGCAGATGTTGATTATCATTTTCTTCCCATCCTGGCTTTCTAGATCCTTACTTGAATACTGATGCTGGAACTATGTCTCCTTTTGAACATGGAGAAGTGTTTGTCTTGGATGATGGAGGCGAGGTGAGAATTTTTACCCCCTTGTTTTCACTTCATACTATTACTCTGTTTTGATCCATGTGAGCCGCAATATATACCATACAACCGGTTGTAAGGTGTTTCCCGTACATCCACGGCGAACACCCATTTACGAGCAAGTGAATGCTCATTTTCGAGCAAGTGAATACTCATTTCTCTAAAATTTAGTTATGCCCAAAATAGAGCATTCAGTTACTCAAAAATGAATATTCTCTTATTTGAAAATGAGTACTTAGTTACTCGACAATGAGTATTGATGCGGATGTACGGGAAATACCGTACATCCAAATGTATGATATAGGTACTCCATATGAGCATGTCAATTTGGACAAGGCTGTAGAAAACTTAATGTCTTGTAATGAACTTGATTTGGAGAAAAGACTAAAATAGAAGTAAAATATAAGGGAAGAATCAAAATAGGGCCTTCATGATTTTATCCCAAAATAGGACTTACATTGCCAATAATATCAGCCTGTAATACCCAAAAAAAAACTATACAATGTCAATATAGAGTGTCATAGTGCAAGTCTTACCTAGAGAAACTGTACATCATTGCTAATACAACTTTTCTTTAATCAGCTTCAGAAGTATAATCTACTCTGGCTTACTTGTTCATACTTTATCTCCGGTTCGGTTATATGTATTTATGCATGAATCTTCTTCACTTTTTACTTATCTCGATCCAGGAAAAAGGAACTTGTGGGATGCTAATACTTTGTCATGTCTTTCCTTGATGGCAACAAAAGATTTAATACACTTTCTACTTTTTTTAGGTGGACCTAGATCTAGGCAACTATGAGCGTTTCCTAGATATCAAGCTGACACGTGATAACAACATAACTACTGGTAAAATTTATCAGGTATGTGAATAACACCTTAACCTCATCTGTGAAACTTATGCTGGATATATAATAAATCGAGAGCTCCCTTAAAAAAAAATTGAGAGCTAATCAAAATAGTTATAGCAGTGCCATTATGCTGATGATTGTAATATGACATAGTTTCTCTCTTGAATTTTTTAGTCTGTTATTGATAAGGAGAGAAGAGGAGATTATTTGGGAACTACTGTTCAGGTATGCTTTTACTTCTTACATTTACATACACACAAATAGATATGTTTTATTGTTGTTCATGTTTGATGTCCCTTGTTTAGGTTGTCCCTCACATTACAGATGCCATTCAAGAATGGATTGAACGTGTAGCTGCAATTCCTGTTGATGGTAAAGAGGGCCCAGCTGATGTTTGTGTCATAGAATTGGGTGGAACAATAGGTATTCTAACACTATTTCTTAGCGTGATTCCTTTTACTCTGTATATGTTAGGAAAAAAAGAGACTAAACTAGGAGTAAAACATAGAGAAAGTATCAAAATAGAATCTCTATTTTTTATTCCCAAAATAAGATTTAAAATGCCAATAATCTCTATTTTTTACACTGCCACATTGTCAGAGTCTAAACTCTTATTTTGTAGATAAAAACATGTCACTCATATTTTGGGGATATGGGCTATGTTTTACTACTATTTGGGTGATTTCTTTTTATGTTATTGCTGGGACTGAGAATGGTCTTCTTCTCCTTATGCAGGGGACATTGAATCAATGCCGTTCATTGAGGCTTTAGGACAATTCTCATATCGAGTTGGTAAGCTTATGCCCATGAACCTAAACTGCGAAATATATGCTTCTAGATTTCAATTGTACAGCATCAGACATCAATTCTTTGGCATTTTACCTGTTCACCAATTCTTGTTCATCTTAGGTGCTGGAAACTTTTGCCTGATACATGTCAGTCTTGTGCCAGTGCTTAATGTTGTTGGCGAGCAGGTACATATGTCATTTCATTGTAATAGTGATGTTTGTCTTTTCCTTTACAAAGTTCAGCTTTTTAACCGCTGACGGTTAAAATTATGTTTGTATTTAAATCTTCAGAAAACAAAACCAACTCAACATAGTGTTAGGGGATTGAGAAGCCTGGGGCTGACACCTAATATTTTAGCATGCCGGAGCACAAAGGTCTCTCTCTCTCTCTCTCTCTCTAGGTTCATCTTTGCATGCGTGTGCCTCTTGTATGCTGTTATGCAATTTAACATTCTGCTGATATACTTGTATATTATGATCGATTTTATGTTTGTTTCTTTTTCTATCAGGAGCTTGATGAGAATGTGAAGGAGAAGCTTTCTAGATTTTGCCACGTTCCGGTATGATGAGTGGAGTGTTTTAAATGCTCTATCGCCGTCTGTGAATATGCATACAATAACTAGTGTAGTTCTGTCTGAAGTTTGATTCTTCTTTTCAATCCCAGAGTCAAAACATTATTACTCTATATGATGTCTCGAACATTTGGCACATTCCATTGCTTCTAAGAGTAAGTATTGTAGAGCATACGATTTATATTTAATGATTGCTTTACGATTCCTTACATCAATCACTCATATATTCTGTTTTTTCTTGTTCAGAACCAGAAGGCACATGAGGCAATGTTGAGGGTTTTGAACCTTAAAGGGTTTGTCTAATCTTTTTCCTGTGGTTTAATATCTGTTAGTCTTTAGTGATCTATCTTCTCTACTGATAAATACTTTCGTTCTACATTTCCAGTGTTGCTAAGGAGCCTGACTTGAAGGAGTGGACATCTAGGGCTAAACTCTCCGACATGCTACATGAGCCCGTATGACCCAGAAACTCATATAATGTTAAACAGATTCAAATTGTTTTCTTCATCATTTTAAACTTTGTGCAATCTGGTTAACAGGTAAGGGTTGCTATGGTTGGAAAGTACACTGGCCTGTCAGATTCTTATCTCTCTGTCATAAAGGTCAGTTGATTGGGTTTTTTTCCCTATCAAATCAAAGCTTGAATGGTAATATGGTGTGCCATTTATATACACTTGTCAATATCTCAAAGTTTACCAATTCATTGCAGGCTCTTTTGCATGCTTCTGTTGCCTGCCACAGGAAACTTTGTATAGATTGGGTTCCATCCGGAGATCTTGAAGAGATTTCCAAAAAAGAGGCACATTCTTATGCCGCGTCTAACTCTTTTTCCATCTTTCTTTTATGTTATATCTATCAATTCATACAACCTTTTTTGCATTTGCAGAATATTGATAATTATATGAATGCCTGGAAGTTATTGAAGGTTTGTTTGGTTATACATACTTAACCGTGCATTATATGAATGGTTTATTTTGGATTTGTGTTTGAAGTGTAAAGCTCGTCTTCCTGAAACAAAAAAAACATCCTTTCTTTTTAATAGGGAGCAGATGCTGTACTTGTCCCAGGGGGGTTTGGTGACAGGGGGGTGGAGGGAAAAATACTTGCTGCTAAGTATGCCCGCGAAAAGAGGATTCCTTACCTGGGAATATGTCTAGGAATGCAAACTGCAGTGATTGAGTTTGCGCGATCTGTTCTTGGAATCAAAGATGCAAACAGTACCGAATTCGACCCCAATACAAAGAATCCATATGTCATCTTCATGCCAGAGGTTATTATTTCTTGCTTTTCATTGTTACTGTGGGGTTGCTGTAATGTCTTAGTGTTAAGCATAAAAGCTTTTGTTTTCACCTGTATGGTCAGGGTTCAAAGACTCATATGGGAGGGACTATGCGTTTAGGATCTCGGAGGACATATTTTCAAGTTGATGACTGCAGATCTGCCAAATTGTAAGTCTTCTTCTCTGTATTCAATCAGGCATGATATGAAATCCCAGGTGCAGCTAATTTGTCTGCATTTATATATTTCTCACATCAATAAGAACTTGTATCTTCCAGATATGGAAACATGAAATTTGTTGACGAAAGACATCGCCACAGATATGAGGTAGTACAATGCAAATACTGAAAGGGATTGTAGATCATCATTCTATGATTATAGCAATATAAGCAACAACAACAACAGCGACAATTATCATGTTCAGTTGTTTCTTGCATAGGTAAACCCTGAAATGGTAGAGGAGCTTCAAAGAGCCGGGCTGTGTTTTACAGGAAAAGATGAAAGTGGTGAACGCATGGAGGTATATATATGTTTGTGTGTTTTGTCAAGTGAAACCTTGAACAAGCAGCTTGCTGCCTGCCATTTGTTATTCTGGCCATGTTAAGGGTCCATCTACCCAAACTTGTTTTGCAGATTGTTGAACTGCTTGAACATCCGTACTTTGTCGGGGTTCAATTTCATCCCGAGTTCAAATCAAGACCTGGAAAACCTTCACCTCTCTTCCTAGGTAGTTCTTGTCTACATCATGTCTTTTCTTTCTTCTTCTTCTTCTTTTTTTTGTTAAAAAAAGAAGAGTAAATTCTATAATTAATGGTTCTTTATAACATGGATCAATTCTAAGATATTACATTTTTAGTCCTCGATATTTGAAATTATTTTCATGGTCACTCTTTTAGTCCTTTGGGGACAATATGTGGAATGCAATATTTGGGTCGAAGAACTGATTATAGAACTATTCTCAGATATAGAGGATCACGAACGTAATATCTTAGAATTGGGTATTATATATGGATACCCCTTATAACAAAGAACCATTTATGGAATTTACCCTAAAGAGTAAAAAAAACATTCAACTTCTCATGGGTTTTAATTGAAACAGGACTTATAGCAGCAGCATGTGGACAACTGGAAGGTCATCTAAAGAAGGGCGTTTCGAATGGGATCATAAACAATGGGAACTTGACTCTGAAGCCGTTCCGAGCTATAAACGGAGCGAAGCTACCCAATGGATCCTTTGAAGGCATACATTGCTGCAACGGTAAAGGAATACGTGCTTGACCACATGCTTCTATTATCCCTTCACTGCTTTTTTTTAATTAGTTTCTTCACCGTCTTTTCCCTCCATTTATGTCGCGATCTAGTGAACGCATGTGGTTATAACCCCCGCCCCCTCAGAGTGTGGGTAGTGTTGGATTCCGGCCTTTTTTAGTCATACGGAACAAAAACCCGCGGCGCCTATCTGCTTGTTTTATTATATATGCAGTGGAAAAAGACTAGAGGGGATGTGATGGTTCTCTTAGGGCTTTCAAATTTTTTTCTTCTTTTAAATCCTAGGATGGTTGCATCTGATTTATGTAGCGTTTTGGTGTTGATATGGCATGGAATTGTTAAGAGAGGCCTTGAATTGGCTGCCAGTTTGGTTTTAGTTGATCAAGAGATGTAATGTTATTGCTATTTGAGTGCGAAGTAGTTTATTGTGTGCTTCTTCGTCTAGCGCAATCAAATGTGTTTTTATTATCATAAATAATGGAAGCTGAATTAATTTTAGGCTTGACAGCTTTTGACAAGTGGTTGAATTTTTTTTTCTGGATTTCATTGCATTCAAGATTGAAGAGCTTTTAATTGCAGAAAATGCCAGAGAAAACTGTGGCAATATAGATCTTAGCTTGAATAAAGATGCAGATGTGATGCATTAATGCATACAATTCATGCAACATAAACTTCCTATGTCCCGCTTGAGTGGCTCATTTTTCATATTCATTAAGGTAGTGTTTTGACCCACTAACATTTTATTTGAATTTTTGAATTTTCAAATAACAATGGAAGGTATATGTATTTCAAATTCAGTTTTGTTATAATCAAAAGGAATAATTCTAAATTTTAAATTTCTTAAGGCCCCGTTTGGTATAAACAATTCAAATTATGGAATTGGAATTGAGGACTTCAATTCCAATTCTGTTGTTTGGTAGCACAAATATTATGTGGATTTGGAACTGATAGTGTGAAAAATGAATAGAAATTGGTGAATTCAATTTTATGGAATTGAATCACATGGAATCTTAATTCCAATTGAATTCCAATTCTACCAATCCCGTATACCAAACAGACCATAAGGGTTTGTTTGGTACATGGAATTGATGGAAATGGAATTAAAATTCCATGGAATTCAATTCCATAGAAATTGAATTCGCCAATTCCAATTTATTTTTTGCACTACCAATTCCAAATCTACATAATTTTTGCGCTACCAAACACTAGAATTGGAATTAAAGTCCTCAATTCCAATCCCATAGTTTGAATTCAGTGTACCAAACGGAGCCTAAAGGTTTTTGAACATGGAATTAGAGTCAAATCTGGATATAAAATCCAAATCTAAGTTCCCAAATGTACCATAAAGAAATTCTGAAAAATTATTTAAATATTTGAAAGATGTGGTATGAGCATCATTGACATAAATGACGAAAGAATTCATTTGATATACTTATTTGAAATTCTAAATCCACTTCTTAAATGAGAACTTTTAGATGATGAACAATTAAATTCGGACGAAACGAGTAAGAATACGACCGATATAGACTTTTAGTATCCGATACAACGAAAAATGAGAGAACAATCACAAAAAAATATACGAAATCTGAGATAAAAAATATATTTTCATTCTTTCAGAATAACATACAAAAAAATTCTCTCCCTGTTTGCAAGTCTAAATATTAGACACTCGTGAACAAGTTTTTCCACATCATATGTTGGGATATATTTTTGTTAATAAATAGATACAGGATCATTTAGACCCTACATACACCAAAACTCTTTTAAAACTCGCTCGGTTTTCAAAAACACTTTTTCTTTAATTTTTTCCATTTCTAACAAAACACTTCCACTTTCTATTAAAAAACCACTTTTACCTTTATTTTTTCATATTCTACTTATCACATCATACTTTCTCTGTAATAATTTATTCATCACATCTAACTTTTACCCATTACATTAGAGGTAAAATTGGAAGTCAACTATAATTTACTACTTCCTTATTTTTACATTTGATCAATATAGGAAGTCTTTTTGAGAATGAGGGAATATATTTTTCGTGACGGCGCATAAAATATCCTTGTGTTCAGCTCTCCCTTTTAGCGGTGTGTAAGTGTAAACATCCCCACTACATTTTCCTACACACTCCATTCCATAGGAGTAATGGGCCATGTAGTAAGGGACCACTCTCACGCCAATATGATAAGAAAGAAAAAGATTCTCCACCGTCCAAAATTACTTTGCTAGTTTGCCTTCCCCTTTTTTTTCTTCTTTTCCTTGATTACTTTTGATTATTAAATCAAATCCCAACAAACTCCACTTTAATTAAATACTCCCTTCGTCCTATATCTTTCTTCCCGTTGCGCAAAACGAAGAAAAATCTCAAGTTTTTTCAATCTATTTTATTTAAATATTGGTATAGAAATAAAAAATAAAACATACATATTTAAAAACTACATCAAAAGTTCAACAAAACAAGTGGTAACAAGAATATTTTATTTTATCATATAGGCCATGAAAAAACACAAATAAATATAAATTCCCGTGAAGTTGGAATAGTGCTCTGGGAAGAAAGTTTTAGGACAGAGAGAGTAGCTCAAGTTTATGTAATTACATCTCAATTATCCTAGTGAGATCACTGCTACCCTGAAAGAATGAAAAAAGTCTCCCTTCCTCACTAAAACAAGGTGTATATACAAAAACAAGTTCTATATACCAAAAAGAACTTTCATGTTAATTCATCCATATCCTTCTCAAGTGCCTTGCAAGTCAATTGACCTGAAAGACAAATGTATGTGAAAACATATATTTCAGGTGTAGAGTGAAAGTAATATATTGTGCATTCATAACATCGCCTGATGTTGTTGTTCGTACTCTTATTACATTACTTGCTTGACATTTTCACGTGTTTGGTTGGTTTGCACACAATGCTTCAAGTGTTGATAATTTTTAATAAGTTGGATTGATATTTGATAGTTAATCAACACTATAACTTTAATTATAAGTTTTGGCTTCTCTCCCACTTCTCTGTTAGTAAGTTGTGGCAATGTTGGTGGCTAAACCAATACTTAATACTCCCTCAGTTCTATAAAAGTGTTCCTATTTTGTCTTTGTGTAAAAATAAGAAAGTGTTAAATTGTACTCCGTAGTTGACATCCAATTTTGCCCTTGATGTGATGGGCAAAAGTAAGATGTGATGGATTGGGTATTAGAGAAAAAGTATGATGTGATAAGTAGGGTATGAAAAAGTAAGGGTAAAAGTGGTTTTTAATAGAAAGTGGAAGTGCTTTGTTGGAAGTAAAAAAATGAAAGAAGAAGAGTTTTTGATAACGGAGGGAGTAATAAACAATGTCAGTGTGTTAAAACTAGATGATAACCGACAAAATAGGGATCAACCCTTCGGAGATTTAACAAAGTACACTTTTTATTCAATAATTAGTATAGAGTATATATATGAATTTTATATTCTACACGACAACCCTCCGGAGACCGGTGGGAATCAAGCCGGTACTTTATCTAGTAAAAAAGATATCCTGAAGACTATTATACTCCGGAGTATGTAATTTACTTTCTAAAAAAGAAGTCAGCTCATACCACCTCATCTCATTGCTCGATCAACGAATTTTCTTTGTATCTAACTACTCCATGTGATTTAGATTTAGAATTCAACGTACTTTAATGGTAGAAATCTTAGCAACACACATTCTCTATCATGTCTATGTTCATGAAACAAGTCTTATCGATGTCAGTTTCAATCGAGATTGATTGTTAGTCTGACATCGAATGTGAGAAACGAGTTACAATATCTATCAACAACACTTCATAGAAGCTTCAACCATAGAAGAAAGTGCGAGTTTTGAAAAATAATTCGATTGAAATATTAAGTGTTATGAACTTATTTAAAATTGCTATCAAATTTAGAATATTTGCTTCATTGATACATTAAAATTTGCAAACTAGTAAAGTGTAAAGTACACTTGAGTCTCGACTTGCTATATTTAATACTCCCTCCGTCCCACAATTAATTATAATATTTACTATTCTAAAATCGCAATAATTTTTTTTATTTGTGCATTTTAATTGATTATTTGATAAAATAAAATACTCTTGTCACATCTTATTTTTTAAAAATTTTGATGTAGTTTTTAAATATGTAACTTTTATGTTTTATTTATGTTCCAATCTTTAAATCAAATGAATTGAAAAAACTTAAAATTATTTTTCGTTTTCCGCAATTTGTAAGCAAAATAGAGACGCAGGCAGTATATAGAAATTTTGAATAATTTGATTACTTCAACTTACATTTCGATTTGTTTATTTTTCAAATACAAAGAATATAGAATGTTAAATTAGTTTTAAGCAAAAAACCAAAATCCCATCTTGGGATCCGAAGCATCGTTCGCCACAAATGCAACCAATTAGGTACCGAGAACCAGTTGTTCTGGAATAAGCCCAAACTACTACCGTATCCATGCCAAACAATAATATTTCCTTCGTCTTAGTTCTCATGTTGATTTGGCAAACATATTTTAGAAATCAAACAAGATACGATTAAAATAATAAGAAAAGTAACAAAATATAAATTACTTTTATCACAAAAATAAAATTTTATACAGTTACAAAATCATACCATATTGACATTTCATAATATTTTTTTGGTATTATACGTTCACACGATTGACATTATAACTACTTTTTTAAAAATAAAAACATGAAACCCGTATTTTGATATTTTTCTATATTTTGTTCCCAGTTTAGTCTTTTCTCCACATATTTAAAATAATAGATAAAAATGTACGCCCTCTGTCCCAAATTAATACCCTCACTTTGACTTTGCACGTAACTTACAAAAAATGAAATTGTATGGTTGAGAGTGATGCAGAGAAATTGAAAAAAAGTGAGCCACGGAAAACGTATCTAAAAAAGAAAAGAGGAATACTAATTTGGGAAAACCCAAAAACGAAATAAAGCGAATTGATTTGGGAGAGAGGGAGCATCGACTTTCCTAAATTGCACTTATCCTCCCTTTCCCCTTAAAAGTTTGTGTAGTTACCAAATGATCATCGACGAAGGCTGCCAGACTTGGTAATTACTCTCTGTCATTCCATGTTTACTATTTGTAAATTTTATTCACCTTTTTCTTTATTTTTGTTACTTATTTGATTTCGTCGCACGCACACACAAAAAACAATTAAGAACAGTACACACGACACACAAATTGTTTACGTAGTTCGGAGCAAGAGCTCCTACATCTGCAAGGTCCACGTTAATGTAACAGCCTTCCAACTATATCACAGTAGAGTTTACACCCTCAATAACTATAGACTCAATCTAAGTATTGATCTAAACTCTAACGGAAAGAAAATGCATCAAACTCGGTTTGTGCACACATATCAAGAACTGTAACACTCTTGAACTTATCTGAGACGTGTTGGTGGCCTACGCTCCAGAATAGCTCATATCAACTTCTGGAATGCTCCTTGAATCTTCAATAGCTTTGTTTGTTGTAAGCCTCAACAAGTCATCATCAATAAATAAACTTTATTATCTCATGATGATGATGACTGACCAATAAGAACTCTCTCAAGGATATATTAACTCTACGTAAATTTCTGTGTTCTTGTCTTTCACCTCAAGTGAATAGCACGCCTCATATTTATAGAAAGCAAACCCTACTGGAGTCTAGTTTCAACCCAGCTTCGTGATGCGGCATTGCTAATGCAGTGTCCATCCGATGCGAAACTCCAGGTAAAGAGGCATGACTTGTGCAAATTGTGTCTTCGGGAGTTCAGGTTCTAGTACACAACTGCTACAAGATGTTTTATTACGTCGAGATGTCTTTTTAAAGAAAAAATCTTCGCAACCAAGTTATACCTTGTAGAGTTACGAGCAGGATGCTACAGCTCTATCCTCAACACGACTAAACACACAATACTACTATACACGGTTTTGTCAAAAAAATAATGTCAACTATAAAACAAAACTAGGGAACCAACAAACTCTTGTTTCGTACTCCCTCCGTTCCTGAGTATTTGTCCACTTTTGACTTTTTTTAGTTAAAATTGATGAACTTTGACCTCATATTAAATAAAAATGATATTGATAGAAAAATAATCCGCTTTTCTCCTCGCACCAAGTAATCCCTTCCTCTTATCCTTCTTTTTTTGTTGCATGTGTTTTGCCTCACATTTTTTCTTCTTACCAAATCCAACTTTTTAAAAACAATCTAACCCTTTTTCTGAAACAAAAAAATTCCAATTCCTTTTTTAGTTATATATGTTGTTTTTTTCATTTAAACCTATTTTCTTTTTTTAAAAAAATTTAACATATTTTCTGAAACTAAAAATATGTATTTTTAAAAGTAATGTTTTTATCCGAGATTATACAATTTAAATAGATAATTCAACTATTTTTTAAAAAAATCTTTTTACAATTAAAATCTTTACGCAAAAATACAAATTTTTATAAATAAAATGGAAAATAAAACACACAAGAACTAATTAAAATACGTCACTCTAATGTGTAGTACCACTTTGTGACTATGAACTTTTTGATTGGTTGTATTGTGTCACGTTACCGTATGGCATTCCAACATACGACTTGCTATTGCCAATGCTCTAATAAAACGAGTTTCAACCTAAAAGACATGCAAAAAAGGTAATGGAAGTTAATTTTTGAATGACCCAAATAAGAAAGTGAGAAGATAATTTTTGAGATGGAGAAAGTAATAATTAGACACAACTCAACCCCACAAAAGATGACATAATGTTTGCACAAACTGCTTTTAACTAGATAGATAGCCCCAGTGACGATGATGATAATGATGAAGACGACGTTTCCTCTGGCTCTGGCGTCTCCTCATCTTCATCATCTCCGAGCCAGTATCTGCTGAAATGTTTAACCCTGAACTTCCATTCTCCATTGACCGGGTCATAGGACACGAATTCAGCACCTTGATCCTCTGCTTTTCTTCTAAGCATCTCTTTATACTTCTCAACTCTTGGCCCATCAGTACAACTCTTACCTGTCTTCTTGTCAGAACATTTTATGTTGAGGAGAGTGACCTCTGCAGGTTTGTTGAGACCTTGTCCAACAGCTGGTTTCTTGCTCTCGTCCACATAAACGATCACCTCTCGATTGTTGAACTGGACAATGGACTCCAGATCGAGCCTTCGTACGTCTGTGTCCCCAATGAATCTTATGCAGCCAAACCCTTTCCTTCCCACGACAAAATCGCTGACGTGGCGGCAGAATCCGGGCTCAGCCCTTTCCTTGGCTGCCAGCTCTTGGATCCGTGGCAGGGTGTAGTAATCAGGGTGCCTTAACTTTGGCATTAATGCCTCAATGTCAGCCCCGTGTTCATAAACAATTGCTGCTTCACCAGCGCGGTGGCTAGTAAGAGTAACCCAAGAGCCTCCCTTCTGGGTAGGATGGCATCCATGGACACCATTGGGTTTCCGGTTCTCTTTAAGAGGTCTGGTAGTTTCCTTAGAGCTTCCGTTTTCAGTAAAACCGTCTGCAAAATGGGTTCAGGGAAAAAAAACAAATTACAGCTCACATGGAGAATTTCATGCAATGACTCACATATCAATACCTTTTTAGCAATTAGTTAAAATCAGTTGAAGTCAGTCGCATTAACTTTATAGTATATACAGTCAATTAGTTGTATAATACTCCGTATTAGATTATACTATAAATTCAAGTTAAAAAACAAAAACAGCTTACTTTCTTTATCACCCTTACAGACTCCATTAGGTAGAGAAGCAGATGCATCTTCATGGACTTTGCCTGCAAAAGGAGAAAACACTGATTACCAGCTATCACCCCCATGAACTACCACAAACTATTAGAGAAACTACCATGACTATTCTGACTTTTAATCGCACAACAATTAAGTCACTTTACACATTTAAAGTTTATTTTTTTCCACTTTGGAAACATTAGGTGCATGACTAAAACATTCTCATTTTCACAAGCTTTATCATTCTCATCACCTAGACATTTTCATGAAAAGGAAATCTAATATCTTACCTTAAAATGTTCCACATAAAAGGAAATGCTTTAGCCACACTTGTACTTGAAATGATGAAAATGTAATTGCTAATACATAAGTGCAGAAGTGAGTATAATGTGAGAATATGGCCAGATTAATAGCCCAATGACCAAAATGTGACAAAAAATTAATGATCACGATCAAAAGTTGAAATAACCTGACAGTTGAGATCCCTCTCTCTCTCTCTCTCTCTCTCTCTCTCTCTCTCACACACACACAAGAAACAAGATATGCCCAAAAATCAATCTCACCGTTCTCTTCTGTTGCAGAAAATGGTTTTCTCACACTTGCTCTGGAGGGCCACGTCTCCAATGGACGAATTACCAAAGCTCTTGGATTGTCCCAGGGAATAAAAATTGCATCTACTTTTGGTGTGCTAGTTGTCACTTCGCCATCAGTAAAGAACGCCAACTTCAGGTAAAAGGTTTAGTACAAAAACTGTGACTAATCCTTGAAAAGCAGATGCATAGTGGGTCATTATAGAAGAGCTACACATTACAATGAAATGGAGCAATATAAGACCTTATGCCCTCCAGGTGGTATTGGAGTATAATTCCTTGCAGGCAATTTAGGCCGTCTCTGAGAAAGGTGTCGTGATGTCAACAATGGTGATATCCGGACAGGAGCAGGTTTGTCAATGACCTGTTCAGAAAAAATAATGTACCAGATCTACATTCTGTACATATGCAGGTCTTTAAAGAAGCAACTATTTGCAGAAAAGGACATGCGAAATTAGCTTATATAACTTATTCTTGATATATACTCTTCATGAGTGATCTCTTATCACCACTTCACTTATAGACATTTTGGTTGGTAAATATACTCACATACTTAGATTGTTTGCATACTTACAGGGAGATTAGATATCCCATACTGTATAGAAGGAGAGTTGCCTTTCTGGCCAATTGACACTTGAGGCATCGCAGGCAAGGTTCCAAAGGGATTGCTCACAGGTGCTGGTTGTAAAACCAATGAGTTTTGAGTGGTTGACCTGTTGAAAAAGAAGATTCCAGTAAGTTTGTGCTTAAATTAACTAAGCCATGAGAGTAATCCAATTCATGAAAAAGAATAATAAAACAAGTCAAAGAAACACGACTGTTGGAATTGCAACCGCATGTTTCCTCATTCTTAATTAGATATTGAAAAACTAACAAGCCCTGCTACAGGTTTCATCACAACCATCTTAGGACTTGTTCTTTACACCTTTATAAATTAACTGGAGTCTCAAGTCATAAGTCTGTGAACAGAAGAGTGGTGGCTAGGGTCTACTGTCTAGAGTCAGGAGACTGATCTATTTTTAACTAAATTCTGATGTCTACTAATTGGAGTGTGAAGTTTAGAAACTGGAGTCTAGTGACTAGAATCTGGACCCTGGAGTATGAATAACTAGAATTTAAAGCAGATTTTAATAAGATTTTACGAAAGAATAATGTGATGAAATTCCAAAACCATCATCATAGATTACTCCTGTATGATGTAAATTAAGTCCAAAAGGGCATTATGAAAACGAACATGTTAGGTTAAGTCTATTAAAAATTTTGACGGAATATACTCGAACCTTCTTGCAAAGACAGAAATATTAAAAGTGAAACTCTAGAAGGTTGAAGAATAAATTCCAGAAAACCGAGTAGTCGAGCACATATTTAAAATGTTGGTTATAGAAAAAGCATATACTAAAAACCAAAACATATTATCTGGTTCCAAATATCGTCAAAACTCTATCCATGCTCATTTTAATTCTTTGACGGCATGGAAGACATCAATGTTGGCACTATGAGAATATCCAAGTAATACAAAAGGATGTCCACGTACGGCTGAAGAAAATTGTTCTGGCCAAACATACTTGGAGCGCCAAAGATATTTGGAGCAGCTGTAAGGGAACAAGAAAAGAAAAATCATCAGCAACTTAACTTCCAAAGCAATCCAATAAAAGATGAGTAAATGATAAATTTAAAGATGCCACCATGAGTTTGGCCAAAATTACCAAATCCAGTTGTAGTGTTCTGAGAAGGCTGAGGTGGTTGAAAAAGTGTTGAAAGCGAGGACTGTTCAAGTGAGAAAAAAAACAATGTAATAAACCAGCATATTTTCATTCAAGAGAAAGATAAAGAGAGATGCCCAGTTGGAATCAAATTTCAATTAAACACAGTGGGCATTTAGCAAGGAACTTTTTTAGTAACCTTTTGTTAAAAAGGTGTTTTTGTATTGAAAGATTAGCCAAACAGCTCTAAGATACAAACAACAACCCAGTATAATCCCACGAATGTAGGGTCCGGAGAGGTGTGTACGCAGACCATGTCCCTACTTGAAAGTGGAGAGGTTGTTTCCAATAGACCCCAGCTCAAGAAAAACAGAAAGCATAGAGCACAAATAAAAAAGAGCAAGTTAAGAGTTAAAAAGCACGAGGGAAAAGGAAAGAAGGGAAGCAGCACCAAACATAGAAAACACACAACGACGAGCAAAAGACTACCACTCACTGATTCCCAAAAGAGCAAAAGAAACTATGATTGAGACCCAAAAGACTACACAACTACCTTAATCCTGGATCTCCCAACACTCCTATCTAAGGTCATATCCTTGGTTAGGGCTAGAAATCTAGATTATGCTTAATTACCTCCTTCCGATTCTTCCTAAGTCTACCCCTTCTACCACCCCCGCGCACTATTGTAAGCCTCTCATAGTCTCATACTTCCATGCCGAAGCCTCAATGTCTCTCCTCTTCACGTGCCAAAACCACCTCAACCTCGCTTCCTGCAACTTATCCTCCACAGGTGCCACTCCCACCCATCCCCTGATAACCTCGTTCGGAATCCTATCCAACCTTGTCTGCCCAGTGCGCAGACAGCATTTGCATCTCTGTTGCATGCACTTCACAAACTAACGAACATGGGTTTTCTTAGCGGCCCAACATTCCGCTCCATAACGCATAACTAATAAAACTTCCCCTTCATCCTTGCCGAAATCTTCTTGTCACAAAAGACCCCTTAAGTGAGCTAACGTCCCCATCTTTCTCCCCATCTACCTGAATGATTGAACAACGATACCCAAACCTATCTCTCTTTGGCACTGAGTGAGAATCAATCCTAACTTCCACTTACGATTCTGCCATTTGACCACTGACGCAACAATCCAAGTACTAGGGACTGAGACCAGAACTCCAACTTGTCATTGACCCCCCNTACAATATTATTAGCAAAAACCTTGCACCACAGAACATGTCCCTCAACATCTTGTGACAGAACATCCATCACCAAAGCAAAGAGGAATAAACTAAGGGCAAAACCCTAGTGCAACCCCACCTCAATAGTTAAGGAATCAAAGTGACCCCCAATAGTCTTCACCCTAGTCCTTGCTCCGACAGATATCTTTGATTGCACAAATGTAGACAACCGGAACTCATCTAAACTCAATACACCTCTACAAGATCTCCCTTGGCATTCTATCATACGCCTTCTCAAGATCAATAAACACCATGTCAAGGTCCTTCTACTTAGCCCTATAAGCTTCCATCAACCTTCGCAAGTGGTGAAAGGCCTCTGTGGTCGACCAACAAGTCATTAAACCAAACTAATTCTCAAAAATGCACCTCTTTTTGCAGCATAGGGCTCTATGATACGCCCCAAAACCTTCATGGTGTGGCTAGGGATTTTAATGCCTTTATAATTAAATATGAATAAAAACAGCTACAAAATGTTTGGTAAATTGCTTCTTCAGACAGCTGGTCCCAAAAAGTTTGTTACTCAAACTTTGTGGAGAAAACTTTTTGTCTATAACTTTTTACATGTAAAATATCAATCAGCTCACACAAGGAGCATGTCTTAGCAAATAGTTTTGTCTTAAACAACAATCACAAAAGCTAGCCCAAACAGCTAAAACAAACACCTAATAGCTAACAACTGTGTGCAAAAGAGGGTCAGATTGAAAATTAAGAAATTGATAACAGCTTTTTATCATAGGGTTTTGATAAACACAGCCCTAAGGCTTGTTTTAAAGATGGAAATAGAATCAAGTCACTGGTTGAAATAATACACTTCACCCTCCTTTTAAACTCCACCACTCAGTAAGGTCATTCTATTTCCACACAGCCCTGACGGTTGTTTTTAGACAAACCCTTTAACTTGGTTCCACAGACAATTTATCTGCAGTGTAATATCTAGCAGGCAACGACAAAAATGTTGTGACTTGTGAATGAATTTCAAACAATAAAACATGCAGGCTCCCAGACTACAAAGTAGGGATTACACTGGGTTTGTTGTAATAAACATTTAGGCCCTCATAAAGAAATTTTGAGTCAGTTTTCAGATTGAAAGATGAAGATGTGAAATTTGCACTAAATAGGACTAAAACATAATTACTTTCCTAATGTAGGACTTAAACTTTTTTATTCCCTAAATAGGACTTAATAATGACCTTGTAAGAGGAATAATGTCCAGTAATAATGGACATTTACTTGAATAATGACTACTTGATAATGACCAAAAGTCCTACATTGAGAAATAAAAACATATGGTCCTATATTGGGAAAGTCATTATGTTTTAGTCCTATTTAGGTAAATTACTCTTGAAAGATTTGTAAAAGCTTGTGCCTTAAAGCGAAACCACAGGACCACTAAAAAATGAATGAGCAACTTACTGTTGTTTGACCAAATCCTAATGGACTTTTTGTGTTTTGCATTGACGGAGTGCTTGAAAATAAGTTACCACCAAAACCAGTAGATGGTGTGTTGAATAGACTTGGTTGACCAAAAGGAGGTGTACTCTGCCCAAATGATGAGGAAGTCTGTCCAAATGCTGCCCCTGTTTGTCCAAATGTCCCTGTCTGCCCAAATGAAGGTGTAGTTGACTGAAATAATGGTGTTGATTGAGTGTTAAAAGCTAAGCTAGAGCCAAATGCTGGGGTTGTTCCTTGAGCTGATGAACCAAAAACTGATGTTGATTGTCCAAAACCAGATGTGCTCGACTGTCCAAAAATGGGAGTGGTGTTTGTCACAAATGATGAAGGACTTGAACCAAATAGAGAAGTTGCCAATGATGTTGACCCAAATGGGTTCGGTGTAGTTGATGTTCCAAATGCTGTACTAAATGCTGGAGTCGTTGAGACTGCAAATGTAGACTTTGGGGCAAATGGACTAGGTGTAGTGGATGAAAATGGATTGGCAGATGACTGGCCAAAGCTGTTTCCACCAGTAGACTGTGCACTTAGAGCTGGCCCTCCTGAAAGTACTCAGTTGAAAAAGAACATCAATAACGAAGAACATTAACAGCAGTTCAAGCAATTTCAAATTTTTCACACAGATACCTTTATCTCCTGCCTGGTAGTCCTCAAATCTAAGTTCCTCATGGCTTTTATCTTTATACACTGGCATTGCTGAAATGGACTCTACTTTTCCAGTAGTTGTTGAACCGCTATCTGTCTCAGGTGTAGGTTGGTAAGGAGCCACTCTACTTCCCCGGGGTTGTCCTGCAAAACCCAAGGTGCCAAACGGTGGAGCTGAAGCTGAAGCACCTGCATGTTTTCATTATATGAGGAAGACAAATCAGAGAGCATCAGCATTGACGTAATGAAAATCTACATGCATCATGCACATAAATTAAAAGAAACCCCTCACCAAATGCAGAACTTTGAGGGGCAAAGGATGATGGCGTTGTATTGAAAGGACTGCTACTGAAAGCAGATGATGATTGGCCAAAGGCAGGTGTAGATCCAACATTGAAAGGAGTACTTGAATTACCGAAGGCCTGGGTTGTTGTCGAGCCAAAGGCAGGACTGGTTGCAGTGCCAAAGGCAGGGGTAGAGGTTCCAAACGCAGGAGCACTAGAAGTAGTACCAAAAGCAGGTGTGGGTGAACCAAAAATAGGGGCACTTGAAATGCCAAATGGACTACCAGTGCTACCAAAATTTGGGCTTGCCGTTGTGCCAAAGCCCGGAGTACTTGGCGCTCCAAATGTTGGTGCAGCTGAAGCACCTAAAGCAGGGGTGCTTGACGAACCAAATGTAGGGGTGCTAGGAGTACCAAATGCGGGTTGACTTTGTGCTCCGAACGGTGTGGATGAACCAAATAAGTTGCTTCCAAATGCAGGTTGAGATTGCTGAAAGGAGCTTCCAAAAGCACTTGGTTGAGGGGTGCTTGATCCAAAGCCACCAAAACCAGGCTTTTGCCCAAACCGGGGAGAACCTTCATCATCAAATCCAAAATAAGAAAAGTGCATTGAGACATACTTTTATGCATTTAACAAAATATACAAGTTATTGACCCTAACTATGGAATCATAGTTTTCAGAACTGATCCAGTGACAAAATCGGTCAAGTTACTAGTTCACTAGTCAACCAGTGGTTTGAACACACCTACACGCATACACACACACACATATATATGTATGTATATACACACACACACACATACTCCCTCTGTCCCAAATACAATGTCACATTACACAAAACAAAGTGAAATTTTAAGTTTTCAATTCATTTTATTTAAAGATTGATATAGAAATAAAAAATAAAATTTACATATTTAAAAACTACTTTAAAAACTCTACAAAACAGGAGGTGACAAGAATGTTTTATTTAATCGAATAACCAATGAAAACGGACAAATCAAGAAAAGCTCCTGGAATTTTATAATCGTAAAGTGTGGCATTCTTTTTGGAAAGGATGGTGTGTGTGTGTGTGTGTGTATTATTTAGAATATATTTTAATTATTAATAAATTCATATTAAAGTACTTTTTATTGTTTTTAATACTCCTTCCGTCCTAAAATTAACTTCTCAATTTGACTTTTGCAGTCAAACTTTTTAAACTTTGACCGTATATTAAGGAAAAAATACATTGACATTTCATATAAATTTATTAGCAATAGATTCATTTTGGAATATAGTTTTGAAATATATAATTTTTATAAAATATATTTATATAAAAATTGAGATATTGATTGTCAAAGTGTTGCATTAGAGATCGTGAAAAGTCAAATAGGAAGTTAATTTTAGGACGGAGGGAGTATATTTTTATTATGAACAAAATTTATTCATATGTATAAAATATTTATTATGTACTTTGTACGAAATATAAAAATACTCCTTTTCTCTAGTACTCGTTTTGTCTAATACCACTTTGTATATGATAAAAATAATACTCTTGTGTAGATATAAAAATTTATAATGTTTGATTAAAGTTACAATCAATTTAATTTATTTGATTAGTGGAATTAGATTTAAAAACACACTTACGGATTAAAATGTACATAAAAATTTCTACAAAATAAAAGATATCTTTATTTGTTCATATATTTGGGGGAAAAAGACTAAAATAGGAGTAAAACAATGAAAATATACCAAAATAAGACTTCCATGTTCTTATTCCCAAAATATGAGTTAAAATGCATTTGCATTACCAAACGTGGTCATGTACATAACCAACAAGTATAGTAATGTGCACGTGTACAGTGCCACATTAACTCCACATTACCACAATGCGAACTCTTATTTCGGTAATAAAAACATGAAATTACTATTTTTGGTACTTTTTCTATGTTTTAGTCTTATTTATGGTGATTTCTATGTATTCTGTCCAATATTTTCCTAAAATATTCAAATGAATTTTTTTCGAGACACATCAATTGTATTTTTAAGCATTTGAATCGTAGTTATAACATCATATTTTTCAAAGTTACAAAAAAGAAATCTTTCAATAAATATGTACTCTTTTAATTACGAAGTATATAGTACTTTGAACAAATACATAATAAAAAATACTCTTGCTTAGTTGTTTAATATCTTCATGATATGTAAAAGGTCTAAAGTTCGAATCCTATCGGTGGTATAATATTTTTGGCCAATTTTCACAAAAAAACAAAATGTTTGACGACCAGCCAGTTCTTACCGGTTCGCAACTCAATGCGGTACAAGGGGCTAGACCAAACCACTTTGACCCCCAGTTCCTGGTTAATCGGCTAGTCCGTTTTTCAAAACTATGCATGGAATATTACAACTGTGAAATTTAACAATCCTATTTAACAAAAATATTAAGGGACCATTAACCCAGAAACAAAGATAAGCAGAAATAAACAAGAAGTCAAGTTTTCTTTTTCAAAACTCAATTAGATCTGTTCAAAGGATACCATTGTAATATTTAAAACTTATTTGGTTGGCATTAGGAAAAGAATCCACGAAACATTATTCCACCGTAACTGCAATGGCTACCCCAACAGATTCCAAATCCTTGTGAGCTAGGAGCAAACAAGACTAATACATGACCTTTCTACCCCCATAAACCCCAAAGCTAGAGCGCATGGATCCCAATGTATAGTTTCTTTATTAGGGACATTTTTAGCCTTTAAATCAATTACTTCCAAATTTTTCCAAAATAAAACAAAGAGGTGGAATTGATAATGCTTTTCTTTATATAAAAGAAAAATTCATGTCATTACTCCAACAAAATTTTTATTTTACGTCAATAGTCCCAATTTTATTAAATGACACGATTCACATGATTTCATGATATTACTCCCCTACCACCTCTGATAGAATTCGAGATTGGTGGTAAGAAAAACAAATGAAGGATAGTCCTTATTAAATTATGAAATCAGCATCTAACTTCATAAAATAATACTTTATCAAAATATGAGCAAGAATCTTAAACTCATATAAGTAATAAAGCCAAGGAGAATCTCCAAAAATAAATATTGAATTACTTTCTAGATAACTTGTATAAACAATGAGCCTCAACATTATAGAAGCAAAATAACTACCAATCTCTAGAATTTAGGCCCGCTACCACATTGCCTAGTAACTATTCCTAGACTTTAGGCTCACTTACACATTATTTACTACTTGGTAACTAAAATATAGAGAATAAAACATTTGACCTGATAAACAAATGACCCCTGACTCTACTATAAATATTAATAACATATAATAACAGCAAATGTGGCACTCTATCATTATCCCCTCCTTTGAAATTTGCCTTGTCCTCAAGGCAAAATCTAGAAAATAGCTTCCTTGTATATCTGGAGGTTCCGGAAGAAGTGGTAGGAAGACAATATAATGAAAAACTCCAATTAAAGCAGTGGTGCTTCGAACAAAAGGGTCCAAGTATGACATAGGACAAATCGTTGCAAGACGCCACCATCCAAGGGTTCATAAATATTTATCAGTAATGCTATAGAGTTTTCCAGGTTGGTGGTGACACATATATAATGGAATGTTGAACTCATTGTGGCAGATATAGTTATGTCCTTTCTGCCATAGAGTATTGTGGATCGGTTATTAGCTCTCATCAGGTTCTTAAGTGAGAAGAACAATGTATCGGGCTGTCTGTTGACACTATTTCTCTGCAAGAGAGATGATATCCTAAATGAAGGCTCTAAATTTACCTTTGTCTCATCATTGCGTTCCAACGCTTCTGGTGTTCTTTTTTCTGCATCACCCTCCATGGGAGATGAACCAGAATAACAATGAACCATATTTCAATTTTCAGCACGTGATAACATGCAGTTCTCCTCAAATCCTATAGCTAAGGTAGCCTTTCTAAACTGCCCTCTAGATTTAACAACCTTGCATCTTTGTTTCTGAATTTTCTTCTTTCCAACCTCTAGATGAAATTTACTGGATGTGATTCTTTTGTAGGGTGTCACATGATTAACATCCGTACCTTGAACTTCAGATGCTGCCTGTTTAGAATTAATGACAACAAGACAAGCTACAATGCAAAGCAATTGGTGTACTTTATAAGGAGTAACTGTTGGAAGAGAAATTGTATGAAGAAAATGGAGGAACTGAATTTTTGCACAAGGAACCCATAAAGATCTTATGGCTCCGATACCAAATGATAGAACTCGAGATTGGTGGCATGAAAAATAAATGAAGGATAGTTCTTATTAAATTATGAAATCAGCATCTATCTTCATAAAATAATAAAAGAAAAGTCTTTGTCAAAATATGAGCAAGAATCTTAAACTCATATAAGTAATAAAGCCAAGGAGAATCTCCAATAATAAAAATTGAATTACTTTCTAGATAACTTGTACAAATAATGAGCCTCAATATTCATCGAAGTAAAAATAACTACTAATCTCTACAATTTAGGCCCGCTACCACATTACCTAGTACCTAATCCTAGACTTTAGGTTGACTTACACATTATTTACTACTTAGTAGCTAACATATATAAAATAAAACATTTGACCTGATAAACAAATGACCCCTGACTGGTTGGCTCTACTATAAATATTAATAACATAAAATCACAGCAAATGTGGCACTCTATCAACCTCACTTGCTTAATCATCTATCACATGGATTCTTTTTTATGAGGTGACAAGTTGTCTTTTTTGACCCTTCCTTAATCACCCGCCACATGTTTGGCTGGTTTTTATATTTAACTTTTTTTCTTTATTTACATAAAGATGGATTGGTCCATCGATTATGTTATTTTTCTTATTTCTTTATTTTTTTATGTTCTAGATGTGGGGGAATAATCCACCAATTTCTATGTTTTTTTATATATAGCAGCGGGCATATCTGCTGGTTTCCATAATTTTTCTTTTTATAATACTCTAGACACACTGCCAGTTTCCATATAATTTTTTGTTTTTTACTACTATTAATTACGATGTACGATGTAGAAGCGGGGAATAATTCGCCACTAATTACTACGGAGTACTTTCTATTAGTGGGGAATAGTCCATCGCTAATTACGCTCCAAAATAAAATTAATGTGGAAACATGTGGTGCATTCCACCGCTTTTAAAAAACGAAAAAAAATATGTTGCTCTGCATTGAAAAAAAATTATATTGAAACTAGGGAACTAATCCCCGCTCCTCATAATAAATATGGAAACCAACGGATATACCTGCTGCTAAAACAGCGGATTATTCACCAGCTTCTAGAGAGTAAAAAATAATAAGAAAACAAATAAAGAAACCAAAAAACCAGTCTGCAGCCATGTAAAAAAGAAAAAAATTAAATAAAAATGGCAGTTCATGTCATAAAAAGAATACTTGTCACGTCACAAAAAAAAACTCATGTGGGTCAAAAAAGAATACTTGCCACATCATAAAAAAGAAGAGTGAATTCCATAAACAGTCCCTTATTAAAGGCGGTTTTCCATATTTAGCCTTCAATTCTAAGATATCATATAAATGGTCCTCAATTTTTAAAAACTACGGAGTACTTCAGAAATAGTCTTTTAGGCCAAATATGACAAAATATTTTTTCCACATATAGTCCCTGAAGAACCGATTATGGAATAGTTTTTAAAAATTGAGGACTCCTTATGTAATATCTTAGAATTGGGGACTAAATATAGAAGACTATTTTTTATGGAAGTTACTCAAAAAAAATTAAGTGGCAGGTGATTAAGCAAGTGAGGTGACGGGGGTGTCATTTATTCAGTTTGGAAGTATTGGCATAAAATAGAGAACTTGTTGGAGTAATGGTGTAAATCTTTCCAGTAAAAAATGACTCATCAAGATACAAGTAGTACCGCTTCAACAAATTTCATATCGAATAAAGATGAATCATATGAATCATTAGCACCAGCAAAACTCACAATACATGAACATTTTGTGCAACCTAATCTAAAATACTAACGATTCCAACAGAGAGCTAGAAACTTGTTTTTGTATATTTATTCAACTGTTCCACAGCCGACAGGTCAAAATATTTCTTGGACCTACTGACCTACAGCTTTATGCATTCAATCGAGAAAAAAGGTTCTAAAGTTAATCCAAATCTTTATCGCTTTTATGTATCAATCTAGGTTGATCAAATTAATCAGTGCAAAAGTGACTGGTTAAGACTTACGGAGAGTGCATTTGAAAAAGTGCACATTTGCAATAGAGCCAAGGTGACGAACTTATCATATGTGAAAAAACCACATTCCTTGAAATGGATCTAACCATCTTGACTCCTTGGCATGGATTCTACCGATTGAGGATGATGCCAAGCAGCATACTAGAGTATAAGATGAAGTTAAATGCACAATAATACACAAAGTTCCCATAACTTACTCCCAAATGCTGATGATGAATTACCAAATGCAGGAGTTGATGAAGCTCCAAATGAAGGTGTCGTGCTTCCAAAGGCAGGAGAAGATGCACCAAAAGCTTGGGTGGTACCTAAAGGCGAAGAGGACTGTGTTGCTCCAAAAACACCAGTAGAGTTGCCACCAAAAAGAGAACTCCCGGTATTAGATCCAAAAGGAGTTTTACCACCAAAAGGTTTGGGTGCAAATGGATTGTTGCTTGTCTGCCCAAAAGCTGATTGTGAACCAAATGGGCTGGTGGATGACTGTCCAAAAGCTGTAGTATTGACCAAAAATCAATCAGTACATCAAGAAAAGGCAATAAGATTTCTACCTTTAATGTGTGGGTTGGGAAGGGGGGTAGAGATGTGAACCAGTAGAGTAAACTTAGCACGCCTAAACTAATTTAGCAACTTAGAATACATTGAAACTTGAAAGCAAGTTATTTCTAGATTACAGAATTGTGTAGAAGACAAGAAACCTTTAAGAATTAAGGAGCCTTTCATTTATAGTGATAAACAAATATTACAAAATGAAAAAAAAGACTAAGTGCAATCATAGATTCCATGTTTTTGGATATACCTAACAACACAAAAATATTTAAACATTAAATATCTAAAAAATGCTAAGATTAAGGAGACACTTACCATTAGTTGATCCAAACATGGTTCTACTTGAATCTAATCCAACAATTATTGGATACAATGCTAAGCTGGTCCCAAATCCACAAGGTCCCTGTGCAAAATAAAAAGTGTGGCCCCATTGCACCTTTTAGTTGTAAAATTAAAATCAAGTTCATGTTAAATATTATATTTGTTACAGTAAAAATGCAAAGTAAAAAATCTAACTAAAAGTTTACATAATAAGACACATCCTATATGCATTTCTAGATGCAAAATCATCAATCAAACAATTAATTTCTATTTTTATAAATTTCACATTCAATGAATGTCAAAGTTGAACCACTCTCTATCACACTTTTCCCCAATTTGTAATTCTCTTTGGTAACTGGTCGAAGAAAATATACGGACAAAGTTATCCTTAGGACCATTAACTAATGATGAATCTCTCTTTGGGTCATTTCTTACCAACATATAATTCTTATCTAAACTTTCATCAATCTTGGCATCACACACAATCTTCTAAAACATCATCATCGTCATCTAAGGTCACATTTATGGCATCTTGTTCTTGTTCATTCTCATGTGATTTCTTTTCTTTAGATTGTGTAAGTTTTCAGAGCCTACTTTTCTTTTTACGTTTTTTCATGGATTCCATTTTCCTATGAATCATATCTACTTTCCTATGAACCATATCTACAAGATAAGAAAAGAAACAAGAAGTAAATAAACAAATACATGTCAATAAATAAAAAAATATATCACATTATGACAAACAAGAAGTAATCGCAGCTAGAGATAAATAACAATGCTCAGGGTTACTCACTAACTCACTGCCAACACTGCGATCTTTTTTTGACTGGGCTGCAAATAATTAAGATTTACACAATGTTTGGTTCAAGGAATTTTAAAGAGAAAAGAAAAGAAATCAGGATGGAAACCAATTTTTCTTGTTTTGTTAGAGAAGAAAAGAAAAGAAAAATAGATGGAAAAGAAAATGAAAAGGTAAAATATATTGAGGGGAAAGAAAACTAAATTCCTTCCATTTTGACAAGAAAAATGAGAGAAATTCATTTTCTTTCCTTTTCCCTCCTAATTCCTTTGTTAAGAATTTGGTTCAATTGTTCATATCTCCAAACAAAATGAATGAGCAATTGAGCATTCAAACAAAATAATTAGAAAACATTCAAAAAATAAAATAAAGCATTCAACCCATTCAATTAAATGAAACAAGAAAACAAATCCAAGAAATCAACCTGGAGATTATATGAGTTGGAGATGTGGAACCCGAAATATGGATCAACGAATCATGGCGGCCTTGCCTCTTCCCGTCTCCGTTTCTCGATTCTCGGTCGTGGCTGTTCTCAGGGGTACAGGCCTGGAAGTATTATTTTACATAAATGGGGAGATGGGCTTTATTCGGTATTTAAAAAATTATTGAGTCCTTATTTTTTCAAAAGAGATTCTAAGATTGTTTAGAATTTTACAAATTCTTTATGACTGGAAAAAAAAGAACTGGAAACTGGAAGAAACTGGAAAGAACTGGAAGAAACTAGAAGGAACTGGAAGAACTGGAAGAAATTGGAAGGAACTGGAAGAAACTGAAAGAAACAGGAAGAAACTGGAAGAAACCAGTTTCTAAAAAAAAGTTTATGTGTAGTTTTAAATTATTCTCATTTTGATTCTTGTTGATATAAATTATTATTTGTTAGTTGAATTTCCATTTTACACTTCTTGGGTCTTTTTTTCCTTTTCAAAATGTAGTTTTCTATTGGTTTTCATAATGTAGTACTCCCCACCACATTCCATATTTTATATTTTAGAATAAAATATTGATGTTTACCTTATATAAATTTAGATTAAAACATATTCTATATAACTATTTAACCATAATTTTTTAAATAGTTTTCTAATTTTTCATGTAGATTAATATACAAAAAAATGGTATTATTCATTTTAAAAAGTTGAAGAAAAAAATAATGAATGTAAATCATAAAAATAGTGAGATGAAAAAATGAAATAATTTATAAACTATAATTATGAACATAAAAGTTGTAATTAAATAAATTGTAATAATAATAATAGTAATAATAATAATAATATATATTTTTAGGGTGATTTGTCAGATAGTAGAAAGAATTTGAAGAAAATAAATATAGTTGGATAGAAGAAACTGGAAAAAACCGGAATAAACTGGAATAAACTGGAATAAACTGGAAGAAACTCGAAGGAATTGGAAGGAACTGGAAGAAACTGGAAGTTAAGAGTTCAAGTACTAAAAAACAGGCCCTTAATGGTGGACTTAAGTCTATCATTAACCTGCATATATAACTAAAATTAATATTTCTTTACTATTTAAATAAGTGTTTATTTTTTAAATAAAAAATATAAATAAATAGATTTTTATTTGAGAAAATCCATGAAAATAATATACACCCAAGGTGTACTAAAGAAGCACTCTAAAATTTTTAATATTGAAATTCATTAGAAACATTCTAAAACTTGTGTGAGTTTGAAAGTAGTTCCTACCTTTTAACCCTCAAACCCCTAACACCTATGATAGTTGTGATGTACAAATTACTTTTGGATCTAAGAGAACATCACAGGTTTGCCTGATCTAATCTGATCTGATTTGATCTAGTCTAATATGATCTGATTGAATCTGATTTAATCTGATCTAATTTGGTCTGATTTGTTGTGATTGGATCTGATTTGTTTGAATCTTATCTAATTAAAATTAAAATTATTATTATAATAGGTTCTGATTTAAATTAAAATTATTATTATTTACACTTTTCTTTTTCGTTGGGCCTCATCCTTTACACTTTTATTTTTGGGGACTATTGTTCATTGTCTCTTCCTCTTCTTCGCCTATCTTAAGCTCTCAGTTCTTATCACTTTTAGATCTTCTAGATCTGGGATGGGATTCGACAAACAAAAGGGCGACGAAGATCTGGGCAATGATGTTCTTGAGTCTGATGGCCTAAAATCTACAGATTGGGGTGTTGATGGTGGAACTATTGTTCCGGATTCTGGAGATGGAGACGATGATGAGAATATCGATGATTATAAGTCCCATGTCAGCCTATCTGCAGTTTCTTCCGATTATGAGGGTTTAATTATTTTTTGTTTCCAAACATAATAAAACATAAGAGTTAATGTCAATTAATGTGCAAAAGCATCAATAACGTTTATTACCATTTTAAAAAATTTTAACCCAAAAATTTTGACCATTTATTCCCATTATACTCTGTAATTCATAAATATTTATTACCTTTTACACGCCACTATTACATTAAACCCTTATCAATTCATGTTTAGCACTTACTTTTTATGATTGAAGACCTTTTAGGCGAGAAAATGTCATGGGGAATTCCCCTTTTTAATTGTAGTATAGATATTTATACACCATTTTAAAATACTATTCTGTACTCAGCAGCGGACCCTGAACATTTGAATCATGCGGTCGAAATTTTAAAAATTTAGATCCAACCATCACGCTTCTAACAGTAAATAAACAGTATTCAATGATACATAACAATAAAGTTTATATATTATTGAAAATACTAATTAAAAATAGTTCTACATTACAAATGTGAAATACATCTTACAATTGATAATGTCTAGTTTTCATATTTTGAAATTGATTCATTATTTTATCATTTGCTAATAGTAGCAAAGACATCTCTTTCAACATATGTCACTAGACAATCATTTAACCATTGGTCAAAAATTTTGTTTCGAACCTCATTCTTCACAAACTTCATGACTGAAAAAACATGCTCAACACTAGCAGTTGCTATTGGTAGAAGCAAAGCTAACCTTATGAGTGTGTAAACATGTTGATATGTCATATCATAACCTAACTGGAAATTTAAATAATTAAAAACATTATAAACTTAAAACATAACCTAATTATATTAACATATATTCACAAATCACAATCTTACAAATCGTACTACTTTTTTATACCAAAGAAATGCATTCCTATTTCCATATATGAATGTAGTAATAATAATAATAATAAGTGAAATTTGCCTTAAATAGGACTAAAACATAATGACTTTCCTAATGTAGGACTTAAACTATTTTATTCCTTAAATAAGCTAAGACTTAATAATAACTTAGTGGGAGGAATAATGTCCAATAATGATGGACATTTACTTGAATAATGACTACTTCATAATAACTAAGGGTCCTATACTCCTACATTGAGAAATAAAAATATATGGTCATATATTAAGAAAATCATTATATTTTAGTCCCATTTAGGTAAATTTCTCTAATAATAATCATATGCAGAGTATTATTATTATGAATGCTCCACCTTATATTATTATTATTATTATTATTATTATTATTATTATTATTATTATTATTATTATTATTATTATTAAAACTCAACTTTATATTTTCGTCCCATGAACTTTATTTTATATTTATATGAATTTTAAACTAAAATTTATATCTATTTTGAACATATTTCTATTCTTAAAAACTGAACTAAAATTAAATTTTATTTGAAATTTGGAATGAGTGAATTATACTTCCTCCGTCCTAAAACTTTCTTTCTAGAGCACTATTCCAACTTCACGGAAATTTATATTTATTTGTGTTTTTTCATGGCCTATATGATAAAATAAAATATTCTTGTCACCACTTGTTTTGTTGAACTTTTGATATAGTTTTTAAATATGTATGTTTTATTTTTTATTTCTATATCAATATTTAAATAAAATAGATTAAAAAACTTGAGATTTTTCTTCATTTTGCGAACCGGGAATAAAGTTTTAGGACGGAGGGAGTATATGTCAAGGGTGTTCTCAAATTTGGTAGTACGCATTACGCAAGCATGAATGTTAGGGGTGTTCAATCGGATCGATCCGATCCGATCCGATCCGAAAATTCGGATATCCGAAAATTTCGGATCATGTAAAACTCAATCCATATCCGATCCGAAAATATTCGGATATCCGAAATTCGGATATCCAATTTTTCGGATCGGATCACTGGATTATCCGAAAAATTGAGTTTTTAGCCATAATTTATAAAAAACAAGGTAAAATAGCAAAATAAACCCAAAATATTAAAATTCAATATAAATTTACTAAAAGAAAAATTTTACCACTGAGTAATGGCNCGGATATCCGGTTATCCGAAAAATTCCAAAAATTGAATCCATATCCGATCCGATTTTTTTCGGGTATCCGATCCAAAATATTCGAAAGCTAAAATATCGGATCGGATATCCATTTTTCGGATCGGATCGGCCCGGATCGTGGACGGATATTTCGGATCGGATATTTTTGAACACCCCTAATGAATGTCACACCTATTAAAATTTTCTGTATGGTAAATTTTTTATATATAATAATCGTTTTTCATACCTAATAAGTGGAATTCATATTTTTATATTTCTATTTCCATGTATAACAAAGTAATACGGAGTAATATTTTTGTCCCATTAATGAATCAATTTATATATTTCCATATAATTTAATACATGCGCAATTAAATGGAGTATTATTCCATAAATGTACGCTTCCATTGAATTCCATACATGAGGTCAATTTAAGTATTTAAATATAATACTGTCTATTAAGCTAATTAATCATGAGTTGTTATCAACGGTGGATTGCATATCATATGCTAATCAACGGTGATTTGGGCATGTCACTTAGGGCAGGAAAATAAAAATCCAATTTCCCCTGCTTTTAAATAGTAAATAGATAGATAAATAGATATAGATAGTAATATTTCTATTAGGCATGTATTATGTTAGGCATGGTAATAAAATATTCATTTAAAATGGTAAGTATTTCGATAGCCTTGAAATAGTGTTTACTTGTAGAAATATTAAATGGTAAAAGCTAGTAAATGGTAATAATGTATGGTCTATAATTTTTTTCTTCTTTTCAACCGTAAAATTTTAAAAACTATAAAAATATTTTCATAATTAAATTGACATTATATAAAACCTACATAAAATAATAATATATTAAAAATTCCATAATGAAACACTATTTCTACTCAATTTCAATTTTTACTATTATTAGCTTAGTATATTTATTATTATTTTGACATAATATTTGTTTGTCATAAAAATATCAACCGTACATTGTTAATTGACATACTTTATATTTATTACTTATATCTGGTGTATTGATGTATATTTTAGTTTATTATCAGATTTTTCATAAAATTTAATAAAAATTTATGTTTTTCTTAAAAAGGTAACAATATACGTGATTAACTTGTCAAGTGTAAAATTTTTCTGCAATAATGTTCTGAAATCCGAAGAGTGAATTTCCTCCTTAAAAGTTGAAATTCTCTTTAATTGAATCTCAAGACTAACTTTGCAAGCATAAAATTTTTATAAGATAAAAATTTTTTATAATCAAATTTATAATCAAATTTTTTATAATCAATTTTTTTTGATAACGAAACACTATTTTAGCGCGATTTCAATCCTTACCATTGTTGCATTAGTATTTCTATTATTATTTTAACATAATGCACGCCTTACAAAAATATATATTTCCTCCATAAAAGTTAATATATTACCGTAAAAATGTTTATATAATTAAATCCACATTAAATAAATTAAAAGATATATAAGGTAATAATGTAAAAATATTCTTTTATAATTAAATGTATAAAAGGTATTATATTTTTGAAAAATGTTTCTGTGATTAAATTGAAATTAAATAAAAGCTACTCCCTTTGTCCCTAAATAAACTTTCTTCTTTGACTTTTTGGAAATTAAGGGAGAGATATTTTGGTGTAGACTTTCCAAAAATACCCTTGATGTGATGTGTAAAAGTAAGATGTGATATGTAGATTATTAGTAAAAAGGTATGATGTGATAGGTAGGATATGAAAAAGTAAGAGGTAAACGGGGTTTTTAATGGAAAAGAGAAGTTTATTTGGGAACAAAAAAAATGAAAGAAAAAGTTTATTTAGGGATGCAGGGAGTATATAAGGTAATAATGCAATAATATTTTCTATAATTAAATGCATTAAAGGTAATATATTACCAAAAAATATTCCTAGGATATATATGTTTTTATAGATAGATTTTTTCAAATACGCATAGCGCGAAAACCCTAGAGAAGGTATGGTGACTGGTGTTGTTGCTCGTTTTCTATTCTCCGCCGGAAAGCAGGCCACCAGCACAGCGTCCGCTCGCTCCGTCTCTTCTCTCCCATCGTGCGGCAACTTCCTCTATTTATCCTCCCTCCTCCGCCACCGACCGTTGGCCTCCCGCATCCGACCCCTTTATGCGGCGCGGCGAGGGTTCGTGACCAGTCATAGCGTCAATTTTGCTCGATGGACGCGATTCCGACCCCCCAAGGATCCCAGCCCTACTATGTTCTCAGATCTTCCCTCAAAAGAGTCAATTTTGCACCCCGGGTGCGATTTCGAGCACTGGCTTGTTGTTGTGGAAAAGCCAGAGGGCAATCCAACGAGGGATGAGATAATCGACAGCTACATCAAACTTCTAGCTCGGGTCGTTGGGAGCGAGGAAGAGGCGAGGATGAGGATCTACTCTGTCTCAACAAGATGCTATTACACATTTGGGGCTTTTGTGCCAGAGGAAATCTCTTACAAACTAAAAGAGTTGGATGGAGTTCGATGGGTGCTTCCAGATGCCTACGCGGATCCTGAAAAAAAAGATTATGGAGGGGAGCCTTTTATAAATGGGCAGGCAGTGCCATATGATCCCAAATATCACGAGGAGTGGGAAAGGGTCAATGCACGACAACGCGCCCGTGGAATTAACTATGACAGCCCCTTGGTCGGATTCAAAGCAGCAGCTGGGAAAGATGAACTCAAATTATCTTCATATTACGTTCTAAGACGCTGGACTACAAAGGAAAAAGTGTTTGATGTTCATGGAATCTCATCGAGGGACAAGAAGATGAAGCTATTTCACAAAATTTGAGAGGTTTTTTAAAGTGTATGCTAGCTGCTGGGAGGGACTCAAACAAGCTCCATGTTATTAATCAAAAAATTCAAATTGCTTTGAAAGAAGTGCAAGAGTTGAGTGGTGATACAACTGAGAGCAAGCTGGAGAAAGCAATGGAACAACAAGGCAAGAGGCTGAGGCGGTGCAGAGCGTGTGGAGAAAAAGCAAACCATGATAGCCGCAATTGCCCCACCAAACATTAGTTGTGGTATAACAAGTGATTTCTATATAGTTGCTAAAAACACCATGTTATGGTACGTTTCGTTCGCCTAATCTAATTGATTCTGATGTGAGTTTTTAAGGTCTTGTTAGAGCGGATTTGATTTGATCTATTCTGAATGGTCCTAAATTGATCTTAAAGTTATAATTCTTATGATAATTTTGTTATTTTTAACATTATGATGATTTCTCTTATGCGTATTGATTAATTCATTAACATTTATTTGCTTTTATGTTGTTTGAACTTAGGCCCCGTTTGGTACACGAAATTCAAACTATGGAATTGGAATTGAGGACTTTAATTCCAATTTTGGTGTTTGGTAGCACAAAAATTATGTGAATTTGAAATTGATCGTGCAAAAAATGAATTGGAGTTGGTGAATTCAATTCTATGAAATTGAATCCCATGGAATTTCAATTCCAATTCAATTCCAATTCCATCAATTTCGTATACCAAACGGACCCTTATGTTGGAGGTGCTTGAGAAAGTCTGTAGAATTCATTTTGGTTTTTTAGTCCTTGTGGTTGTGCTTTTTCATAAAAGTTAAACATAGGTTTGTAGCTTTTCTTTGAGTCTTTTTGGAGTTGAACAATTATCATCTAGTCGTTTTAACTGTTTGGGTTGCTCTAAAAATCTTACCTGTGTTGTTTTCTTTCCCGTGGGCCGTGGCTATTAATGGACAATCATACACCGTACTTCCTTCGTCCCACAAAACTTTTTTCTTTTCTTTTTTCATCCGTCCAAAAGACCTTTCTCATTTTTATTAAAAAGTCACTTTTACCCTACTAATTTTTAACATACCCATCACATCTACTTTTGCCCATCACATCCAAGGAAATTTTTGGAAAATCAACACCAAAATATACTCTCTATAAATCGTTTAAAAATCAAAACCAGCAAAGTTTTGTGAGATAGAAGGCGTAACAAATAGTAAGGTTTTGTGAGACAGAAGGAATACATGCCATTTGTGGCAATGTAGGCTTTGTACATGCCATTTTCTGCTGTTTTCAGTACAGGGAATTCCACATTTCTATTTTTTGCATGGTATATTCTCATTAATTTTTTTGAATGCTGAACACTGAACGCCGAACATTGAGGGAATAGTTTTGGTTTTGGCAAAGATTAGGGGTTTTGGAAACTTTGAAATACTTACGAACACATTTATTTGATGCATAAAAAAAGGTTTCATGATTTTATAAAAAATATTTTGACTCTCAAGAACCAAGACTTGATTGGATTGTCGGTTTTTTATCAGAATAAGACCGACTCAACTAAGTCTTCAAATCTTGATCTTGTTCTTGATTCTCTGGGTCTTGTGTCATGCCTCACTTCACGCCATGAGTTATTCAACTCTTCATATCCACGACAGTTTCTAAGCAATGTAAAGTCTGTTCCAAAAATTTCTCCCTTTTTGATAATGACAAACAAGATAAGGATATGCATATGTTTTTGATCTTTTTTAAAAAATTTCCCCTTAAAATATGCATACCCTTATTTCCCCTTTTGACATTAACAAAAAGATTTTAAAACATAAAGATTTTATTTATTGAAGTGAAATGCGGAGTACACTACGAAAGCATTAAAAAAACATAACATAAGATAGGTAGAGAAAAGAAAATGAGCTAGAGCTCTAGAAGTCATCAGAGCAAGAATCATCCTGATCTTCCTCTTGTTCTTTTTCTTCATCACTGTCGCCTTCACTCTCTTCATCTTCATCATTCTCTTCGTCTTCATCGTCCTTTTCGTCATCCTTAACATGGACGTTGTCGTTAAACCCACTTGATTGACCCTCAACTTCAAAGTTTGAAGGGTTGTTGTAAGGAACAAGTTGGGCGTAAGGGTAATTGACGAAGTCGAAGTAGCCATGAGGAGACCCAAGGTTTGATGAGGGTGCAGGAGCTTACCGGCGAGGACACGACGGAGGAAAGGGAACGTCTTTGATGCTCGAGTGGAAAGACAACTCGTCGATCTCCCAATGTTTGGTTCCCTTTTGTTTTGGCCCAACATCCGTCTTGATGTTCTACTCATCAAGGATGACCATGACCAAAAGAGCATAGGGGAGAGGCTTGTCGTTGATGATGGCGCCAAACATTTGAGTCATCACAAACTTGCACGGTTGAAGACCCGTCGTGCGATCCAAAACAAATTAAAAATTTATAAATAACTTTAGCTAACACCCAAGATATAATCAAATAAAAACTATAGCTAGGGCAAGTAAGGGTCGATCCCATGGAGAAAGTTTTTACTTTTTAACTCATTTAAGCATGCACACACATTGTCACAAAATAAAAATAAACTAACTACTACACATATGATAAAACTTATAAAACTAATTATACTAAAACTTATAACTAAATAAATATAAAACTAATAAATATAACTTATATAAACAAAGAACTTACTCCCTCCGTCCCGCTATATTCGTCCACTTTTGACTTTTGGAACTGTTCATCTAAGCACTTTGACTCATCAAATTCTCTCAATGTGTAAGCCTAAATATAGTCATGTGTCATCTTGTTTGATTTGTCTTAACATATACATTATTAATATATAATTTCTATAATTTTTTAATATACAAATTACAAGATAAAATGGATTAAAGAAGTGTATTGGATGATGTGCAAAAATGAAAGTGGACAAATACTCTGGGACGGAGGGAGTATAATATAATTAACTTAAAACACAAAACACATACTCAAAATATACTAAAGAATAAAGTATAAAGAACTTATATTTATAACTTATAAACAAACACTTATAATATAACTTAGTAAAAACAAATTATATTATAAACTTAAATAATATAACGAGGGGGGGGTTGTTGAATAAAAAGTAAATATTTTTTTGGTTTTTTAATTTTCTTATCTTTTTTAGTTTTTTTTATAAAATGGGAAAAATAAGCTCAAAAGATAATCAACTCCTCTAACAAAGGTAACCCTAGAAACACCGCCAAAAAACCCGAAAAAAATGAAAAAGAGAACAAGGCCCGTAGTCATGTAATTCAAAGGCTTTTTGCATCACTTTGAACCCCAACTCACCTCAAGGCTTTATGCACTTTAATAAACTTTAACGTCTAATGATAAAAATATTTTGCAGGTCTCCTTGAACAATTTAAGCATAAGAATTTTAGTCTATTGCTGTTCACATAAGAGAACATTACATATTTTCAGAAACATAAAAATTGTTTTTGTACTTAAACAATCTTAAATTTTATGAAAATAACAAACAAACACACGACATAACAATCACTCAATAACGAATCTCAAGAAAATTGTCCAACTTATGGGGCTAAGAAGTCCATAAACCTTAAAATTTTACAAAATACATAGCACAACAAAGAATCACGTATGAATTCAGAAATCATTTAATAACTAGAATATGGAGGTAAAATAGATTCAATCAAAACTCAATTCCACATACCAACCTACTTATGATATCAATTCAAATCGTGTGATTCAACCAATTCAACAACAATTTGCACAAAAATTAAAGAAAACTAATATGAATCAATTCTCATTCATATAAACATTAAAATCCCATAAAAGAACACCAACCATTTTATCATTTTCGAAATTAACACAAATAAGGGGAAAAAAGTGTAAACTTGAATTGAAACAACATTTTTACAAAGAAATTGAAGAAGAAAAACAAATTGACAAATATAGGGTTACCAATTGTCGAAGAAGACGATGAAATTGAAGAAATTGGAGCCATGACCGGAGTTGGAGATCGCCGTCCGGAGCTGCAGCCGCTACCGCTGGTTGTCGCCTCCTCCCGCTCACCACCGCGCGTAGATAACAGCGGCTAGAGCCGCTGCTCTATTCTCGTTCTTTTTCCCCCCTCCCCTTTCTCGGTGAATTTCTTCAATTTATAACAAGGAGAACCTTGAATTTCTTCCCGTAGGAGCTTTAATTGAGCAAAATTGATGGAGCCGAACGTTGGAGCGTTTCTGATTTGGTCCTGCGATCTACGAAGAGGAAGAAGTTGTAGACTTCTTTTCTCCCTTCTTTTTTTTTGTGCGTAAATCTGAAGATAAAGTGGAAGGAGGAGAGGAGAGTTGGGCTTGCTTGTTCTTGTTGGGTTTGCGCTTTGGCCCAAAATAAATCTCTTCTTTTCAAACTTGAATTGCACTTTGATCTTTTGCTACATTTTTCTCTAAATATAAGATATCTGATAACTTAGATTAGGAAAAATAAAAATAATAAAATTTAAAAAGTGATTAAAAACTACTATTTATTCAAGAAAATTTAAAGATTGTAAAAAATAAGAATTAAAATAAAAAGAAGATAAAAAAGTAAAAATTAAAATCTAAAAGTATTAAAAATGCATAAAAAATAAATAAAAAGTACTAACCCAAAACTGACTTATCATGCACCAATTGATGTTGTGAATGATCGCATGGAGCGTCTAGGTGTCCTCTTGAGTGAACATTGTGTGATTGTACATCCAGGGCTTGAGAATACGTTTCAAATAGAAAATGAATCGATAAACAAGATTCATGGAAGTGATCGTTGGACGGTGCTGCGTGGGTGTAGGGACAAAATTCTCAATGCCGATCTCCTCCAATTGGGCGGCTTCATTGAAACGGGCCCATTCTGCACCAATATAGTGGTCAAGATCTTCGCCATCACGGCGTAGCCCATTCAGAATTTGCATGTTTTCTTCACTCAAAATGATGTCGACGCCATTGATATCAGAGAGAAGTGCCCCATCCTCATCCTTTTTCAAGTTCGAGTAGAAAGCTCGAACGAGAAAAGGTTGGTAGTGTGCAGTCTTGATGTAGAGGAGTTAAAGAAAACCCCACCTGCCTCGCACCTTGAGGGACACTCCTTTGAAGAAAGCGAGCAGTGGAAAAGCATGGAGGAAGAATCTCCAGATGTTCGAACTTCTCAGCAAACCAGGTTGCCTCCGCTTAGTTGTTGAACCACAAAAAGGACCCATCAATTCAAGGTATTTGTGGGTAGGAGGCTGTGGAGGAGCAGAAGAGGAGGCAACGTCCGGAATATTGATGGTTTTGTCCATGCAATTTCTTCATGATACTTTCGTGATCACATTTCAACCACGTGCTTCTAAATACACGATTTGGAAAGTTTCTCAATTGAAATTATTACGCGACTCTTTGGTCTTCCAACACACCATTGTAATTGAGTTTCTCATAATCATTTGATTCAATGAGAGATCACAAAAGGTTGTTACTGTAGTATGACTGTAACATGTGTAGGGGCTTGACCGCTCTCGAGCTAGTCGAATAGGCAGTTTTCATCCTCATGACAATGGGCACTTGTTTTAGGTGAAATTGGCACTAAATAGGACTAAAACATAATGACTTTCCTAATGTATGACTTAAACTTTTTTATTCCCTAAATAAGACTTAATAATGACCTAGTGGGAAAAATAATGTCCATAATGATGGAAATTTACTTGAATAATGACTACTTCATAATGACCAAAAGTCCTACATTGGGAAATAAAAACATATGGTCCTATATTGGGAAAGTCATTGTGTTTTAGGCCCCGTTCCGTTCAACTTATTTTTTTTTATTTTTTCTTATTCTTATTAAAATCAGATCAGATCAGATCAGACCAGACCAGACCAGATCAGATCCAATCAGATCAGATCAGATCCAATCAGATCAGATCAGATCCAATCAGATCATATCAGATCAGATCCAATCAGATCAGATCAGATCAGGACTTATTAAAATAAGATCTCATCAAGAATTATTATTATTATTATATTATTATTATTATTATTATTATTATTATTATTATTATTATTATGATCATCATCATCATCATCATCATCGTCATTATTATTATTATTATTATTATTATTATTGTTCTTAAAAATGAAAAAGAATAAACTTTAGAAATAGGTTAAATAAAAAGCTGAGAAAGTAATCCTTAATTATTAGACCTCAAAAAAATTAGTTTTAAAATACATTGACAATGTCAATCTAATTCTACTTTTAAAATATATTTTTATTGCTACTTGTAATTTGAGTTTCTAAACTTTTGATCTTTTATTAGGATGAGATATTTTAATAAAAATACAATCTCTTCTATATATTGATTATCTAAATTTAATTACTTTTAAATGTATATCTAAATTAAATATTTATTCTAATGTATAATTCTAATTTTACAAAAAAATTATCATAAAATAAAAAATATTATTACATTATAATATGAATGATTATTCTAATATATGAATTAACTATTTTTATTTTATTAAAAAATAATCATTAAATAAAAAATATTGATTATATTATAATATGAATTATCATTACAATTTTCAAACGTTATTA